GGAGAAAACCCAGGACTCGCTGGAGGGATTGTGTACCTCCTCTGGTCTGGGAACGTCTCGTAAAATCACTCTCCTAAATCACTCGTACGCACAACTTAAGAACAAATCTGTGCGTACGAACGGTTCTTGCATGAGGCCCATTGTTTCTTCTGCTTTTTACTAGCCTGGTTAAAACCAGACCCTGTCCTTCATTTTGCTTCGTACTAGGGTCTGGGCTTGCTGCATAGAGAATAGATTTCTTGCAGGAGGCATGGTCTCTGCTGAAGTATGCGTGTATTGTCGGTGTGAAGGAGGCTACGATAAGAAGCTAACTGGAAATCGCATGTGCTGTAAACAACCTTACTGAGAGGAGAAATATACCGAGCCGAATGTGATGGCAGTAAATGAGAGCTGCTGCTTTGTCAGACAAATTTAATTTAATTTGGAAGCCTTATCAACACAGACTGGCTTCATTCACTTCCTCCACTGCCGTATGCTAAAACAACTAGCAGACACTGCGCAGATTGAACATCGACGTCATTCAAAACTTCTGTTCTCTGATTGGCCCAGGTAAAATAAACTACAACCAGAYACTGCGCAGAAAATCGACGTTCTGTTCTCTGATTGGCCCGGCTAAAAATCTGCCAGCGAAATCCTTGTYTGTGGGAGAAGTCCCAGACGGCGCAATGAAGGGAAACTAGAATTGAGCGGAGCTGCGTAGGAAGGCAAGGGCCAGGCTAGTTTTTTACTAGTTTACGGTCATAATTAAAAGTACTGACAACACACTTGCAACAGTTATGGCAGAGCTGTCCAAAACAACAATGATTCCAGATTTTCTAATGAAAATTGAACAAATAAACATTGAGGACCTCATGAATCAAACGTCACACTTGGCACAGGAAGTGCTAAATGAAAAAAGTATTTTAAAGTATTTTTGAGTGAGGGGCCAGTTTATTTCTACATAGGGTTGCGCAAACAAACCATGAGCAAATACAGTTAATACAAAATAAAGGAAACTTGGGGAACATAATAAAGAAAAAAACATATTATTTAAATTTTACAAAAAACGAGATGGTTCCAACTTGTTTTGTGCAAAACTGACAAAAGACAACACCTTTCAGCACAACACAATCAGTTGTAACATTGTGATTTGTTGTGCTTGAACTTTGATTTTGTTGGTTTTTTATGCAAAAAAAAGCTAAATTAAAATTGCGAGAGTTTGACAACAAACCTTGACATGTTTTGCCGTCCTCGTTCAGTTCCTGTCCAGCAGGACATCTGCAGTAAAAACTCCCAATGATGTTACAGCAGAGACCCTCACAGCCACCATTGGTTTCCTCACATTCGTTCACATCTGTTGGAGAAAAATGCAGCAAAATTTGTCTCACTCACAATAAAACCATGTTATTGACTAGGAAGGCAAACTGAAAGTGTTGGTTTAAACAGAATTTCAAAACAGAATTAAACTTTTTTAATTTGGTGCAGAAATGGGCAACAATGGCACGTTCTCTTAGGTTCCTTATAAATCTGTCATTTACATCAAATAAAAGCCAGGAGTGGTTTTGTTAAAGATTTGTACAATAAGTGAAGATTTAGGTTTATTAAATTAAATTTTTTTGTGTTATTTTACTGGTTAAACTTGCTATCAAACCTATGAACGGAAAAACAGCTGAAAATCTCTCAAACTTGTGTTTGAATTTGTGTTCAAAGATAAAATCACTGCATTTATTTATCATTATAATCACAAAAATCTTTCTCTAGAGATATACTCAGCATATTTTACAGATGAAGATTTTTTTTTTCTGGTATGCCAGTCTCGAAGTGAAAGCTAAAAGCGAGGAAGTAAATAAAGGAGGAACATTTGTTTGCCAATAAACACTTTATTTGCTCATAAAAAGAGGAGAGTAACTACAGAAAAGTTGAAATGAAAAAAAAAACAGCTCAGAATATTTCCCCCTTCAAGTAAATGTTACTCAGCTGTTTTGGTTGTGTTTTATCAGCCAATTAAGTGATTTCCCTCTCAGTTAACGGGATCTGGGAATGTTCACACTGAAACAAAGCATTCGTTCTGTTGCCAAATCCTAAATTACCTGCAATATTTAAAGAGGTGCTGTTTTAATATTAAGAATGAGGTTTACAACATTACAAACCAAACTATGAAGGTTATTTGAGAAAAAGCTCTGAAGGAATAATTTATATTAGTCACCGTTCTAATGCAGAAGCTACAGATTTGTATTTTAAGAGCTTGGTTTATTACAGGGCTATTCAACTGGAGGCCCGCAGACCACATCAGGCCCACTGGTGACCAAAATCTGGCCTACCAATTGGTTCATTAAGTTCATTGGTTCTTAAGCCCAAACCCTCGGTTTTCTACTTTAATTATAAGTTCTTTAAATTAAACATAGACATGTGTGGTATAAAGAAACATTAGAATGTTGGGCAAAAGCTGGTAAAAACCATTTGAATGAAAACCCAAGACACTTGAAACTACAAGCAGTAGAATATAAAATTAAGATAAGTAAAAATAAAATTGGTTTAAAAATGTGGCAAGCTAAATATATCAAAATAACATTTGTGTCAATTGTTTTTGATTTTGTTTTAATATCACTTCTTTTATTACATAGGGTTCTATATGTTGTATTCATGATTAAATGCAGCAAAATAAACCATTTCAAAGGTAACAGATCTTTGTAATACTTGGCTTATTTACATAATGACTTTAATTGCTTGATGTTCGGCCTCTCAGCTGTTGGTCTGCACTAACCTTGGCCCCCCAGAGAAATTTACTTGAATGGCCCTGGTTTATTAAGTCTGTGTCCTGAGGTGTAGCAAAGTAGCTGCGACTGAAAGTAAAGTTTCTTTAACTTTAAAAAAAATCAGAAAAGGACGACATTAATGCCTAAATTGACTCTGAATGCGACCTGAAAAATACAGGATTCTGTGGTCAGACTGCATGTGGATGTTAGCGTGAGGACGAGCCCCCTGAGGCCACACACCTGCATGGCAGCTGAAGTAAACAGGACCAGAGTCACACTCATCCTCAGTATCTTTCTGCCCAATAAACGAGCAGGAATGTTGAACGGCTGCGGGTCAGGTGAAAAAGATACAGAAGAAATCGATAATTTACTGTGTCGTTTCTGTCTCTTTTTTCAAAGTTGTTGGAGATCTGTGTTTGTTTACACATCCGTGTAGGTAGTTTATTGATTATAGCCAAAAAGATTTGTCTAGGATTGTGCAAAGGTTAAACCTGCACAACTGTAATGCAATCATTTTGAGAAGAAAATAACTTCACATGCKTCGTGTTTAGGATTTTATCCACTGACGCTGACTTTGTAAAATGTTAAACAATTTCCTGATAGGTTGAAAAAACTCATTTTGTTATTTTCTTCTGCTGTAAAGAAAAACCCTAAGACACAGATTTGTCAGATTTGTATAAAACCAAGTAAAAACGTCCATATCTGTGAATTGGACACTCTGTTCCCAAGAAACCCGGCAAAGAATGAAAAGCTAAACTGAAAACGTTTGATTTTGTTTCCTGAGCTCAGCTGCAGCAGAGCTTTGAGTTGACATTCCTCTGCTGTATTGTGTGACTTCCTCTGATAAGGATGATCAGCACTTGCTCCCAGGAGGACGAAGCTAATGTCTCGGCACATCATTAGGGGCTTACCGGGCCAAAGAAAACCTTCAGACCTCTGATATTATCTCAGCGGGGTTGTGGGCTGGAAAAATGCAGGATTTATCCAGAATCATGAATTTGGCTGAAAATCAACCTGTTTTCTTTTAGAGACCTGAAGTGGAAACCTGCTGATGCAGCAAAATGCTTTTCTGATGTTCACTCCTGTTTGAGCCTCAGTCCTCACAGCTGCTTTCATTTAGCAGGTGCTATGAAGTCGGAGACAGTCTATTTGGTTTATTCACAAAGATGTTGACCTCTGCTTGTAGCAACTTATGGCAATAAGATCTAAAACTGCAAATCTTTTATGAGCTGAAACTAATTATTAACTATGACCCTTTCAGAAAGCTTGAAAAGCTCATCGTCTCGTCTAACTTACAGCACAGCCAAACCTAAAATTACAATTTATTGTTAAAAATACATATTTGTTTCCACCCAATGGGCAAATTTCCAAACACCTCTTATGTTCTGCAGTGAAACAGTTGAACTGGGTAAAGGAGATATTTTTATGAATTAATGAAGGCTTTTTTTGTAAACTAAAGATTATTTTTGATTGAATTTATTTATTTGAGGAAAAGGGGGCAGATATAATAAGATTTTTTCTTCTTCTTCTTCTAGCTTTCATTTAATTTATGAATTGTATTTTGTTGTATGTTGAATTTATGAGGTTTTTAAAGAAATTAATAAACTTTAAGTCCATGCAGAGTCAAACATTTATGTTTTATTCTTTTATTCATGTGCAGATGAGCTAAATGAGACATTTTCTCTTCAGGCTTGTTTGCCTGTGAGTTGTCTTTATAACAAGAAGTGCAAAACAGAGATCAAAGTGATTATTTAATGTGAACTAATCAACCTGCAYGAATTTATTTACAAGCTGTTTTAGTGGAAGTGATCAGATAAAGTTTAACATTGCCCCCTGCTGTTAATCCTTGGCGACRTCAAAACAATCCAGATGTGCAGCTGAATATTTATGAATTTAAAACTGTGATTTTCTGCCTTTTTTAATTCGTAATGTCACTAAAAACACAGTTTCCTAACAACATAATAATTTACTGTCAAAGTCTGCTATATTAGCCAAAGTGGGTGAATGTTTTCCACTCCTGGTTTACCACAGTGGCTTTTTCCAGAGAGCCATGCTCGATGGAACCTTTAATTTTCAACCTTAGGCCTTATTTTGGTGCATTCTTAGTGGCAGTTCTGAGCAAAGGATTTTTTCCTGAGATGCTGTAATTGTGGCAAACATGGCAGCCGAGTTGTTAAAAAGTGAATTTACTGGAAGTGGTACGATTTGCCAGGAAATTGCGAAGTTAAAAATGTTTCTGTAATGACAAAAAAAAAAAAAAACTAACCACACACAGACCTTGTTGAGACATTTGTACACCAATCTACTAAGTTCCAACATTTTTCTATTTGCCATTGACTGAACAAGAAAGAGTGGTTTGGTATTAAAACTGTGTTTCTATATTTTAGAGAGGAAAAAAATAAGATTCAAATGACAAAATACAGCAAGATTATGTTTTTAAACACCTCAAGACATTTTTTTTCTGTTAGAAAGCAATAAAAAGTTAACTGTGATGCTCCTTTTTAAATATATTTGTCTTATAAAAACAAAAATCTGGTTGATCCTTTTATTGAAACAGTAACACTTTGCTTTCWTTCAACCTGTCTTTTAAAGACTAGTGTTGACAAGAAGGCAGAGACAAGCAGCAGACTGTTTGACTGGATGAAGGCTTTAACAGGCCGAGACTTGAGTAAAAATATCAATTAAATCACTTTGTAGTCTGCATAAAGTTGGTTGACCTCCAAACCCTCAGCTGTATTATWCGTGCACGTTTGACCTCACGAGACACTAAAATCCACCGTTTCAGTCTGTTTATTCTGCGCTGCTAAATCCCAAAATTCCTTTAATCCTCATTTTGATGATTCATTTCTCTTCACTGCAAGGCAAACCTGTGGGTTTCACTTGCACACATGTGTGTTCATGTACTGTATGTTTATGATTTAAATTCTCTGGTCTTCTGGAGCCAGATGCCTTCTGCTGAGTAAGCTTCCATTTTTTCCCTTGCTTTTTCTGTGTCAGATCTGACCACCACAGCTTCCTTCATTCCTAAAAACAGACAGCTGAGTTCACTTTGATGAGTCACAAAATTTCTCCAAAGGACGATGTCTTCATGCTGGACAATTACAGCTGTTTCTCACAGCTTTGTTAAAGGTATCCCTGATTAGTTGTAACATTAGACTTTATCTGATAAACATATATTTTAACTGTAAAATAAGACAAAAATACCGTGGGCTGTTTAGTTTTGTAAATTTAAAAACATATACTGTATTTTAGCATGGATGGAGCCATTTTATTTGCACACAAAGCATTCTGGGTAAATGATGACATGGATAGGTCCTCGGTGTGAGCGAGCTATATCCACCCTGAAGGWTAATCTTGGACAATATCTGACGATTGTCTCTTTTAAATGAAACCAGAGAGCGTTGACAGAGAGGAGAAGGTAGAAATGACTCAGCCTGTAACTGAAAATGTGGATGGAGGACAACAGATCTCTAAATGGCTCACATGCATTTGACAAATATAAGACAAATATGGATTTCTTGAAAATGCATGCCAACACTTTTTTACCATTGTTTCATCATTTGCTTAATTTMTGTATTGTGCAGTCTATTTTCCCTGA